TCCTCAACTGATGCGTATGAGGATTTCCGTCTTTTCAATGGATCGGATATTTTGGCAACCGAGTCGGTCTAAAAATACAGAACACGCTCTACTAGTCAACACTGCTATCCTTCACTGTGACCTCTATAAAATCATAAAGGCAAGTAAGTACTGAAGGTAGACCGGCAATTCAAACATTTTGCGTAGTGGGTATTGGCAATATGTCTCACCTTGTCCTGAATGAACTTCAAGCAGGCCGTCCGTAACATTGCTACAAACTCGCCATCTACCCCTGCCTCACCAGCAAACAGGGTGTTGGCAGCCAGGGACTTGCTCGGTTCGAGTTCGAAGAGGAGAAAGATCTTCTGTTTACTCCCTGCCAAAACAGGCAGTTCTTTGATCAGTTTTCGACTTATTAAGGATTTTAAGATACGGGGGAGGCGATTCTGAGACAGTTTGGTATCCACTGAAATAGCCTTGATTGTTGCGCCCTCATTTCCATTTTTGCGAATGCAGTTATATACCAGACTCTCTTCTACGTCTTTGAGAGACTTCAATTTACTAAGATCAAGGATTAGTGTAGGAAACAACCTACTCAATGTTGCCGATCTCACGCATGCGCCAGGAGAGAGTGCGATTGGGGTTGACTAGAACTTCCACTTGGCCTTCCTTTTGCATCCGATTCAGAGCTGGGAGAAGTTGAGTAAGAGTAACATCAGGAAGTTCCTCCTCAAAGGTCTTCTGCGTCACCGGATCTGAGTGCGCAACTAGAATTGACAGTATCCTAAACAGTTTTGCTTCTGCATGAGACTCACCTCTCAGGCAGCTTCGACAGATCCACTAGCTTTTTGGTTTCTGCCATTGATAGGCTCCAATGAACCTACAAATAATATGAGGTTTCGTGAGTTATGCAGTTGGAATGTAGAAGTAACGCAACAAGTGCTAGGGTAAAGGCGATAGGCAGTGAAAAAGGTCGCAGACTTCTTTATGCGAATCCACTGTAAATGTGTGATACCGGACGGGCATGCGCGTGGATAGACTAACCGAAATCCAGTCCAAATACATGAATATGGCAGTTCCACATTATCCTACTAAGTTGCTGAGTAAAAACAACTCGTACAAAGCCAAACGCACAGTCAGTTGAACGATTATTCAAAGTAAAAGGAGCACTATATAGGTGATAATGGCATTTCTATACTCACAAAGGTGCAGTAGTCAATAACCCCACTCTAACGATGCGTACACAGATAAGTTACAAACCGATCACAAATAGCCAATAAACTAACAGGGACCTTGCATATGAAAACAATTTAAAGGTCAAACTGACAGGTTTTTAATAAATATTTAAAGATTTG